TCATCCAAAAAATTCAAGTTTAACCTGAATGGAAACCAATATTAACGTGTGGTTACCAGATAGCAATGCTTCATAACGTTTTGACATCATTCTGTATCAAACAGTTATCGCCTACCGGTGAACGTTTGATGTAACCAGATGAGGATAGGTCCTAGTACCCTAAGTACTACATGTATATATCTAAACTTCACTCCTGTTATGCTGATCCCTGCCGTCTTACAACCCACCTGGATCTATATGGACCGCACGTGCAAACTAACGGTTATTTCCAGTGTCCACGGTCCGGTGAGTATACCCATCATTGACCTTCGACTCTTCCATTCATGATGCAGGGAGTCTAGTCAATATTACCTTTAAACCCCTCCAGAATAAAAAATGTTTTTGTACAGGTTCATCGTATAACCATTCCATATGCCAATAGACCTTTATTTATTTCAATTGTAGAGCTGCCAATTGAAGTATATCATGCTTATTTTGGACCCAAAATTTGACAATTACGCATACCAATATGTTGTTCTATCGCCAGTTTAACTGTATTCTTTAGAGGCTTTTACAAATAACTGCTGACTGTCACGCAGGACGAGTCAGTACAGAAAGTGATATAATTTCAGAGTAACATTAGGCAATCACATCTTGTCAATCCTACAACTTTGGACTAGGTCTATTTTCCTTAAAGCACCGATTTGCTGACCTGTATTATTTAGTGCTATATTCGGGCCATACGAAAATTTGTAGATTCCTAGCAGATCAGTCAATTTATTTTTCTTGAGTCATGTTTTGATCCTGTCAGTTATTCTCCTATAAACTTGACTGTTTTTATACGAGCATGTATGTGTGTCACTTATCCTATCCACCACATGACTCTGTCTTGTCTTTTTCCTAGTCAAAAATAGTGAATGACGTTCTACCAAACGGAGTTAACACGTTTTCGTCCTCCACTAAGCCTCGGTTCCCGCTTGTCATTCTTAATGTCTGCCTAAGTTAAAGAGAACCTGAAATAAATTCACCCAACTTAACCCGTATTTGGCTTCTTGTTTCTGCGGTCTTACACATGTAATTGGTCTAGGTATATTATACAAGGTGGGAATAATGGTAGCTAGAACAAACGTATTGGCCGAAATGCCAAATATGAGTGAATATTTCACAAATTTACAAAATGAACGTTGAGTAAGTAAGAACTTCTATTGTTTATTACTGTACGGAAAAATTTTGTTTTCTACTCACTGTATCCCTCCACACTCCGCAGTGCGACGATCACGATCAGCTACGATGGAACTACGATTATTCAGGGAGCGGAATCGAGGACGTTTGGACCGTAAAATGTTTTAATAGTGTCAGCGCTTGTTAAACAGTGACAATGGCCTCCATGTAGTGGTTTTTAATCATAATCTTTATCGTTACTTAATCCTTCATTCGATCGATGGCATTCTGGATTCTCATTCAGTTTGATTCCTTTTACTCCCTAAGTTAGTAAACTCGCCAGTCATTGCACGACGGTTGTGTCTGTTAAGTACGACAAATTTACGGATGAATCGTATTTCACATTGACCGAGACAAACTGCCTATATGTTGGCCAATTTCTAGGACGTCAGTAATATACCTCAGTCAGATAGCTTACAATTAAATTTCTCCACATTATCACCAGTATAGCATTTACATTCTTTCAAATATTTAGCAAGGTCTTTGAGAATGTAACGCGTTTAAGGAACCATTTTCGGCACACTGAACATATAATCTTCGAGTGCAAAATATGTTTCTGCTACTTTCCGCTTGATGCTGTCTATAGTGTGCTGTAGAAAGCACGGACTATCTGATGACATGTGCATATAACTGCTATTTCTACACAAAGAATTATTTGTGGGTTAACTTAGTTTTAGACACGTTTTGATAGGCCTGAGGAATCAGAAATCAGTTCGTGGTCGATTGTAAAGTGAGAGGTGCTAATGAGTGCGTGCTGCTGGGCATAAACTGACCTAATTTCACGGGGAAGCATATACGTACAGCATTTGATGAAAATTTGGCTCCATTTTTTAGTGGAAATATCTTTATTATTGAGTGAGTAGATGAGTGTGCTTTCATCCGGGTAAACTAATTATACCCCGGAAATAAATCTTGGTTTCCCATTCAAGTAGCAGGTTAGGCCAGGATACTGGAGGCTTGAATATTAGTAGTAATGTCGGATGACCTCCCAACACACCTCTCTAAAGACATCTGAAAGTTAGAGGAAGATATGCATCTGACTTCAACCGAACATAAATTAAAGACAGAAAACCACACGCTGTAAATAGACAGGAAAATTAAATATGATGATCATACGATTATCAGACTACCCTGGACAGGTACACAGCGAGAACTGACTTCATACTGACTGTAGGTTAGATCCAGTATTCTTTCAATGAGTCATCGACCAGGAATCATCATGTAAACATAATAAGGTAAGATAATCGGAACTAGATTAGGTCTGTCCAGATTTATTTGAAAAAAATACTGGTACCCAAGTACATATTTTTAACGATTTAAAGTCAAAGACATAAAACAAAGTTAGGGAGAAAAGATATGTTTGATAGCGCACAGTGGTAGGGGAGCCTGTGACATGCGAACTGGTTACCTAAATCTAGGAAGAGTTTTGTGTGAGGTCTTGCAGAGATCTGGCGGTGATACCTGACCATGTGCTCCCATCAAAGTTAAAAGTCAGTAGAAATACCAAATGCTTGTAAACCATTCATTTTATGGAGTTACCACAAACAGCCCCTGAAAAAGTTTTTCAGGATATCCTGAAGTTTCACATGAAGCTGGATCTATTAAATCAAAAGTTCTCATTGTTTTACGTTATCTCAGCTGATTTCGAGGAAACTTCTAAGATGATTTATAGTCTTCAGTCTTCAGTAATAAGGATAGGAGGTCTGTCGACTTATATTAATCCTTGCAGTTTGTAATACTGTGGAGGTCCAATCTCGTTTTGAATATATTAACAGACGGTGCTGATATTACGTGTTCCGGTAGAGAATTCCAGTAATTCACTACTCGGTGCGAGAAACGGAACTCCAGACGTAAACGGTTTGATCTCGGTTTTTGAACTTTCTTCGAATGTCCTCTCAAATGATCAGTCCTAGACGGAAGCAAAAGATAAGACATGTTAATACCAAGGACATCGTTCAGTATACGATAGGCCAATATTAGATCACACCTTATTCTACGGTAAGATAACGGAAATAAGTTAAGGTGTCTCAGTCTGTCTTCATAAGATAGGCCAGATAGACCTTGTACCATCTTAGTAGCTCGTCGTTGGACTCTTTCTAGCATATCTGCTTCATATTTGAAACAAGGACTCGCTGCTTGAATCCCGTATTCTAAATGTGGTCGCACATAAATCGGGTATAGTAATCTAAACATTTCATCATCTAAATACTGGAAAGACCTACGAATTGACCATAATACCCTATAGCCTTTTGCAGCAGCAGCCTTACAGTGACTAGTCGTTTTGAGATCATTGCTTAATATAACTCCTAAGTCTTTATAGTTTCTTGCTTTGGGTAGCACGAATCCACGTAGTGTATAGTCATACGATTCATCATAGTTATTTAACTGCATCACCACACTCTTATTAGGATTTACTCCCAGTGACCACCTGTCTAACCATACCACCAATGACCTAAGATCGTCCTGTGATACTATTCTATCCGACATACTATGTATGGGTCTCCAAATCTTTATGTCATCAGCGAAGAGTAGAACGGATGATTTTGCTACAGTTGGCAATTCATTTACATAAAGTAAAAAGAGAAGAGGACCTATGATTGTGCCCCGGGGAACCCCACTTTTACAGTTACCCACGAGGAGAGAGCCCCATTAACCCTTACCCTTTGTCTCCTGTCATGGAGAAAGTTACTTATCCAATCGACGACTGTGTTATGGATTCCAAAACGTTTCAGTTTGAATTTAAGACCAGAGTGTGAAACCTTATCAAAGGCTTTACTTAGATCTATGAAAATTACATCCACAGGAGCATTCCGATCCTTTGCCGCAGCCCACTCTTCTCGTGCAATGAGAAGATTTGTCAAGCAAGATAGGCCTTTCCGAAAACCATGTTGTGCCCTGGAGAAAAGATTTTGCCCTTCAACATAGTCTATAACAGCTATCCGAATGATTTTCTCCATCAGTTTCACAACTGCACTAGTTAAGCTAACGGGTCTATAGTTACTAACTAGATCCCTACTCCCAGCCTTATACACCGGACTTACTATGGCGTGTTTCCAGTCTCTGGGAAGTCTGGACTGTCTCAGAGACATGTCGAATAGTATCGCTAATGGCTCAGCAATTTCATCTGATATGGCTTTCATAATCCTAGGATGAATATCATCGGGACCACTGGACTTATCAGGTTTGAGATGCTGAAGTAGCCTTAAAACAGTATCTATCTCAATGACTACAGGATCCATCAGCAAGCCGTCACGGTCGCGACGAATCATTGGTCGTTCCTCATTACCGATAGAAAACACTTTACTAAAATATTCCGATAAAGCTTCAGCTTTTTCGGCATCATTCTCTGCTAAGATTAACGTAGCATCTCGTATCAAAAGTGATGGAATTCCATCGCTCCTCTTAGTTCGCCTTTTTATATACGAGAATAACCGTTTCGGACTATATCTAGAATCCCTAGCCAACTGATACAGAATTTTGTACTTTGTATCTTTACTTGGTTCAGGCAAGCATGAGCACATTTACAGTTAATAACCTCATAATTGATTTTTTCTCATCGACGATCAATAACTACACCCTACATTGGTTCACCAAAAAATAGGCTACACTAAATAAGAGGTTACCTTTGGCACCATCAACAAGTCAACTTGCATACACGATTTTAGCAGATACGAGTGAAATTTCCATCTATACCTAATGCTAATAGCATTATTCATGGATGTACTTGTGGCTACTTGACTAAGGGTATTTTAAAATAAGGAGCTATGGTTAGCTAGTAAACATCCTGTATTAACATTGAGAATTGAATTGGAGCGCTTCCATGTTGGGATATGTTGTTAGTTAGCATCGGTTGTGGAGAGTAATTTGTCAAGGCGCTTGATACAGTGATGGACTCGAACAATCTTCTATCTCTAGAATATACGTTCAGTAGTTCCCTGGTTAGTCTGAGACGGTCAGTCTCAAGAGAGATTTCCGCTTCTGTTTCAAGTAGGTCGCAAATGCTTCGTTAACATATCTCCTCTAGAAATACGACGGCAGTTCCTATGTGTTCAGAGCGGTAAGTCGTTGACAGTTAATTGTTCATTTTTGTTTCTATAGAATTTAATAATGAGATTTCTCGCTTACGTGAACAAAATAAAGCTCTCGTTCGGTAGGGCTATCATTTTAGCTGATTTTTCGCAGAACTTTGCAGCAGATGGAGGAAATGATAAAAGGAAAAGAAATTGAAATATATGGGTTACGTAAGCTTCACTTGGTAGTGTTGAAAAGACTTCTAGGCCATCAATTGCAAAGCTTCTCGGCTGGGCGAGGTGTGTGTTCTAATTGCTCTGGAGATTCTATCCAAGCTAGAAACACTTTAGTAAGAAACACTGTCTTTAACTCAACCAACAAACGCCCGCTTACGACAGTAAGTTATCTTGTTTAGCAGGTTGATAAGAATAATTACCATGTGTTTTGTGTACGTCAGGTCTATTTTCGATCTCAATGGTGACTTTTGATTCATGGTGCTTGGTTTAGTACCAGTTAGCTAGTCATAATCGTTGTCGAACCTAGCACTAACGTGCTTTAGACCAAGTTTCCATTCAACATCACAATGGTGAGACAAAATTAAAGCTCTAAATATACGAAAAGTCGGTTATGGCATCAATAATGACAAGACGTTACGGTTCGAGAAAAAAAGTAACATGTGTATAGAAGAATACTGGGACCCAATATTTAGAGAGAGAATAGGGGTGAGTGCGTATGGATAAATGACCTACTGTGAGCCATGTTGGTCAACACTAACCAACAATCCTAGACTTCCCTCGAACTTGAACTCCTAGTATATCCGCCTGGGTACTCCTAGCTTTGCTCTAGCATACTTATACACCAGCCGCGACTATACTTCAAGGTAGACAGTCATTAAACATACGTATAACACAAGTAAACTACTTCAGTCGATGAACAGTCAGACTAACGTATTCACCCAAAATCCTATGCTTAACCGCAGCATTACCTACTCGGTCGTTACAAAGTCCTCATAATTCTTGTACTTCGAAACCCGGAACTCTGCGCATGTCTTTTACTTTGATAGACATCACAACCACGCAGTAATATAGAGCGGGCTGTCGCTCAATAAACACACTAATGAACAAAAACACCTCGCTTTCTCCACAAATAACAAGTTGTTGAAAACCAACTGAGCTCTGAATCGGTACCGACCCATCACCAGACAGCAAGCCATCGGACTTGACGAGGCTTATAGAGTAAGTACACCTTAGTAGTCCACTCACCATTACTTCACGGGTCGATGGAGACAAGTTTTGAAGCATTTAACATTTAGAAGCGGAGAAACGCGTCTCGCACACGCATATTTGCTCAAGACTATCAAAAGATTCTGCATTTTGTCAGAGTCTTGACTTGATCGACACATTGTGACGTACTTTTCATTTTCCCACTTTATTCGTTTGTGATTGCTTCTGTAGCTTCATATTTTTAATTCTTCCCAACCATTGCTATCTTTATTTCTATTTCTTTGCGCTTCCTCGTGCTATGTCGTTATTATTTGTAGCTACTTGAGATTTTATGGGCTGTGTTCTGGCAGTCTTATCTTTACATAGCGATTTACACCCATAAAAACAACTGTCGATGCATTACTCGAGTTTTATCAAATTGTTGAGTTATGTTATGCACTCGATTAATCCATTTGTGATCCTAATACGATTCATCGTACTAATGTGTATGATGTTCACTTCCTATAGATCGATGACTCAGTGCTTGATACGGTCACCTTTCAATCGACAGCTTGCAGTTTCAGTTCCCCTTAAATTTAAACTGTCAAGTAATCTCACAAGCCTTCACGTAAAGTCTGGCTTAAAGCTGTATGTAAACATGTTGCATGAAGTCATTCCCATTTCATGCTATAGGGTTTCTAGTTACATCCAAAGTATGTCTGTTGGGAGCTTAAAATGGATTTTAAACATGCACTATCATGTAATGTGTCTTAAGATCAAGTAATATGCCCGTAAATTCACCCGAAACTTGAGTAAAATCAAGGTATCATGGAAGCAAATAATTCTCTGAATAACATTCTACTTAAGGTTTCTTTGTAGGCAGCCAAATCCATTGTTCCACATCGTAATGTTATTTCTGCACCTCCACAGTGTTTTCGTCTTACCATTTTATACCCTATTTGGATTCACGCTTTGTTTTGAAATACTTTCCTTGCTAATCTGTTATTCACTTGTATACTAAATATCTCTTGTTGCCAAGTTACCCATCTAAAATATATAGTGCATAAAAATTTTGTCCGATTTTTATAAGATTTCATCGTCGATATCAGATGGTCTGTCGGAATCCAGTTTAAATAGTCATATTCATCAGCCCATAAAAAAACGTCCATATGTGCCGGCGAACGATGTTGAAAGCGCCGATGTAGAAAACATTAACAACATAACACCAAAAGGTAAGTATCTTAATTATTTCCTCTAAACGTTCAGAATGTCACAAACATTCAGATTTTTGAGATAGAAGTCAGCAGTCCTAATTTATGAATAATCCAGTTTGTGCTATAAATTCTACCAGATTTGTACTGAGCAAGAAATATCAAAATCTCATTTGATTGCTTCATCATCAAATACCGAAAACTATCGTACTAATTGTTAAATTCCACTACTCAGTGTGTCAAAAGGTTGGCTATTAAGTTCCTAGTGTCAGTACCAGGATCTTGGTTTGGGTAAATGTGTGCTGTCTGTGTAAGACACCCACTCCTATTATTTGTATGAGGAAAACGTGTTTATGTACTTGCATACTGTATAAAAGAATGTTCATCTCCAAGTTATCACATTTCGGATTAACAAATAAGCATGATCACAGATAACAAGTTGAATCAATGGTGTTAATTACCATAGAAAACTAAGTATAAGGAACGTTATTCAAGTGAAATGAATGAGACCAGAAGCTATAACTTAAGCGATTCAAGACTTATAAAAAGAGAATTAGTTTTGTCTGGATTATTGCAATTAAATGGATTGAATTCTGTTAAGATCTTTACCCACAATCATCGGTGAGTAGACCTCTGCCTCGTACCTTGTGTTTACAGACAGTAGTTCCGTGGAGTTATTTATTTATTTGAACATAAATATTAGTACAAGAGGGCATCAAATATATATGCGCCACACAAAACAATCAGAATTCGAAGAGAAAAAAAGCAATAACGAACAGATTGGTGTAAGGTAGTGTAATAATAATAATAGTAGTAATGGGAGGAACGGAAAGGTACAATCAGAAGAAATCTTTCAGTTAGGAAGATACAACCACTTTTTACGAAGAAAGTAAAAGAAGGTTACAGCAGGATCGCCACTGACTTCTATTCTGAGCCATATCTGATAACGTCTCTAGCCACTGTGTCGCACCATCTCTCAGACCCCAGCCAGAGAGTCGTGAAGGACCAACAGAAGCCAACCCTTGGCAGCTTTCTTTCATACCCCGACACCATGTCATACACTGACCACCTCTCCGCTTTCTCCAACCAGTCCCAGAGTCGGCAAATAATGCACGACGTGGAATTCTGTGGGACGACATTCGGAGAACATGTCCAAGCCACCGAAGTCGGTGTTTCAAGATGGTGACACCAGTTGCATTATCGTCTCTGTGCCCGAACACACGATGCCGAACCTCTGCATTACTAACATGGTGTTGCCACTGGATGTCAGCAATCCTTCGGAGACAGCGATGATCGAACACAGAGAGTCGTCTAACGTCCTCAACTAGAAGAGGCCAGGTTTCACAAGCATAGAGCAGAACTGCTCTCACCGACGCGTTGTAGATCCGACCTTTTACAGCCAGACTAACATCACGAAGGCGCCAAAGGTGGCCCAGATTTGCATAAGCCGCTCTGGCTTTCACTATACGTGCATTGATCTCATCACTCACGCCACCACCAGCACTTATGCAGCTACCCAGATACATAAATTTTTCAACTACGTCTATCTGCTCACCATCCATGGTGAGTACAGGATTGGAATCCTGCCAGTCTTGTAGAAGTACTTTGCACTTGGAAGGTGCGAAGCACATACCATACCTACGAACACTGATTGCCAACTGACTAAGTGCGGATTGCATGCCTTGGGCATTATCGCACAGTAAGACAATATCGTCCGCATACTCAAGGTCGAGAAGTCTTTCTCCAGGCAACAGATCCACACCGCCAGTACTTACATCCATCAGAGCTGTTTCCAGAATGTCATCGATGGCAAAGTTGAAGAGGAATGGTGAGATTGGGCAACCCTGTCTAACCCCACTACTCGAATGGAACAATGGAGAAAGGTGGTTGTATGCCCTCACTCTGCCTGAGGTGTTTTTATATAGGGCTTTTAGGATGTTAATAAACTTCTCAGGCACACCCTTCTTCAATAGACAATCCCAGAGAATAATCCTGTCCAACGAATCGAAGGCAGCCCTAATGTCAAGAAACACTACGATTGTTGGCCTTTGATAAGTATGGCGGAGGGTGAAGATATGATCAATACATCCTCGATCAGAACGAAAACCAACCTGACGGAAGACAATAGTTTGGATGCAATCGGAAGTAGACTTAACCCACGATAGTTGTTACAGGAACGACATGAACCGTTTTCAAAGATAGGGACAACTATCGACTCATTCCATGACGTTGGTACACTTTCTAGCTCCCAAACCTTTGTAAACAACGTCGTCAGTTCCTTAGTCAGAAAGTCACCACCATCTCTAAAGAGGGCCATAGGTACGTCACCTGGGCCCGGTGATTTGTGGCGTCTCAATAGTTCTGCCCATCGTCCAAGACGTCGATGGACTTATACAGCAGCTCGCCTGTGGTGGAAACTGTTCTATCTAAACGTTCCGTGGAGTAATGCCATTCGTTGGTGTGCGTAATATCAGTCAGCATAGTGCATGAAGATTGTTCCTACGATTTAAGTCACTATCGTTCAATGAATAAAGAGGGTTTGAATGCAGTGACTCACAGATTGCCTAGAAAACTATTCTAGTTGTTTTGCTATTCTTTAGGTCAACTTTTTCTATTTCAAAGTGGTTAAACTTCAAAGAGGGTGACTGAAATGAACTCATATCTGCCTTAGTCTTTTGCATTTCGCGGTTGACGCAATAAGCACTTCAGTTAAATATTCTTGTTTCACTTCGGAAATGCAAATATTGGGTGGTTTTAAAAAAAAGCTAGCATCCTGATCGTTTTATTTAGATTTGTTTGGTAAATTTAAATTTCAACACCTTAAATCACTTGCTTTCGTAATAAAGGAGTTCGCCGCGTCTTAATCTTTGTGATTCTCTTTACTACAAATAAGTTTTTTAACTATGGTCAAAAAATTTTCCCGTTACAGGTGTTCGCAAATCCCCTTCTGGAGCACCTGATGAGAGTCAATGTGAAGACGAAGTATCCAAAAGCGAATCTACAACACTAACTAACAGCGTTTTCCCTGTCGGTTCCCTTAGCCCACCATCACAAATTTATGATGCTTCCTTAGCAGTAAAAAATGCAATTAATCACAACGATCTGGCTGATTACGATGCTACTTACAGGGATTCTTCTATGTTGGATATGTCAGGTGCAAATAATAGAGGGAACATGTATGTATCATACTGCTTACAGCTATTTTATTCATAGTAATGTTTAGCTATTATTGTCATATTCACTTAAATAACTCACCCACTATCAATTTGAGTCCAAAGACCGTCTTGTCTTCCTGGAAATATTAATGTATAAAATATAAGTAATATGTAGTTCTACAACAAACTATGGTGAGTTCAAGTTAAGCTTACATCCAAAGTTATAAGACAACAGTAACCTACCACAAAGCAGTCAAACGTAAGCAATAGATAGTTTGGAATGGCTATTCAAGCAAAGCATATTTCAACTAATAAGAGAATAAACAGAGTTGATAATTAGTTTAACTAATGAGGTACCTAGAGAAAAACAACTATTGAATACTCGTAAGTAATATAGAGTTATGAAGCAAAAAGTTCACAGCTGTAAATAATGGTAGTAATAAGTGGATTGTTCCTATTGCCTAACTTTCCAACTGTTATATTTATTATTACCAATGTGCTACCAAGACAAATAATGTGGAATGTTTACCTGAATTCTTGTAACAAGTGGTGTTTTTAATTATCCTTTGTATTCCTTTTAAGAATCTTGTAAATGAATAATTTCAATTCACCTTACCAACAGTTGATAAAAATTAAGCAGATTTTGTTCCATGGTTTTTATTGTAAATGGATTTCTTATTTCTACTGGACGCGGATCTTCATTTAAATAATGGTAACCATGAGTCCTGCGTTATAATGGATTTTACAAAACTTACTTGAATTACAAGTTTTCGAAGTAATATGTCAATGTTGTGTTTGATTTCGCATCATAAAAGTAATATGCATTACTTAGCAAAATCTGCTTAGACTATCAAATCACCTTACATATCATGGGATCAGATGTATTTTTCTATTTAGCTTAAGTATCTAGGCAATGCCTTTAATTGTTACAAGACTGTCTCAGTTTAACAAGAAGAATATTAATTATTCTAATCAAGTTATTTATTCTGTTATTCTTCCAAATTTAATGCTGAAATCCCTTTGAATGTTAATTCTTCAACATTAGGTTAGAGTCTCCAGGTACTAACCGGACGGGACCTATTGGCGCAGAATTTATTCCAGGTATTAGAAACCCTAACAAGTTAATATCAGCGAACGGCCCTGACCAGGTTCAGGTTGTTTGTCATCGACCAAAACGTACACATCGACCATCTTGTCGTTACTTTCATCGTACATTTTCCAGTAAAGAAAACAAGCAAGAAAAACAGAAATCTGATGATACTGGTGATGACATAAGTCTGCCTTCTGGTTTTCTCGAATCCGAAACATCAGTTCATTTACCACCAAAATCCATTACTAGCGGTAGTTTGTTTCATTTTGAAGTTCAAATACTTATAATTTAACATTGACTGACTTAATAAATATCCAAATACTTCATTGTATTAATTATTTCTAACATAATGATTAGTTAGTTTACCCATAAACCATACCCTAGATGTTACTTGTGAATATCTCAATAGTGATTTCAATTTCATTAGCTTTACCTGGAACTTAATATTTAAGGATCTTTCATAATGTGCTTCACTTATCGTCGGGAAATATCACTTGATTTCTTCCCTGAATCTAGCTTCAATTCACACACCAAGTAGACAGTATAAAGGTGCATGTTTGCGATATATTTCTTACTCATGCATACTGAATACTATAAACAGTAATATATTAAAACAGCAAGACTTCCGAAGAAATTATCAACAATTACTTGACAACCATATTGCAAAACATGTGGAACTGATTAGTTCGGGATTTTCCGCTTGTCATGCAACGTAAGATTTGTCATAGGCAGCATAAATTACCGAAAGCGTTAGAATAGGTTTTACATCATAACTGTTCTCATCACAATCGTTTTATGGAAACGTTACCCATTTTTGTGTTGATGAAATTAACCTGATAAATTTTCCGTAAATGTATTCCTTTACAAACGTCAGATTAGAAAATCACTTTGACTGGATACTTACGTAAAATGCAAATTCGTCATATATAATTTAAAGAATAGTACAAATATTCCTAATAGTTTGTGTTATTACTATTAGAATGTATAAATTTCTGGTGTTTTGTGTGTGTTCAAATAATGGATTGATATTCAAGAGATCGTTAACCAGAATAGATTTCTATCTAATAAAATTACATGCTTATGTACGATTTATTAATTCAAAAATAATTATGATTATCATAAGCAATTGAACCATCCTAGTTTTGCAGGTCGTTCACTTAAATGAACTAGTCATTTAGATAAAATAACAACACTAGGACTAGTAATCACTATTTCCCCCATAGATCGTGTCGAAAGTTAAAAGTAAAGTAAATTCCATCACTATTAGGAATATGGTGATCGTATATCATTTTACTCAATATCAAGAAGATAAAATTTTCAGTGACCATACATTAATATGTATCTCAAGTAGTAAGCTAATTTTTCCTATGGTCAAATTGGTTTGTAGGAACTTATGAATGTTTCCATATATATATATAGGAGTATGTCTTCTACTTCAGTTGAAAATAAGCAGTAAATTGCTTATGCTTCATACGGATGAATAAGCTAAATAAACTCCATACTTTTGTAAGATGTTTGGTCCAGACTATTCATGATATAATTACTGAGACAATGTGAAACACAGAAAGCTACGCTACAGTACTACACGCGTCTCACATGCTGAGGGTTTCAGGAACGCCAGAATTGTTGGATAACCACGTTTTAAGATCTCGTTATGAAAGTTACAAAACCCTGCAACTCTCATTTGTGTTTTCATCCATATTTGCCTTTCGTCATCCTAGATGAATCAACAAAGCACAAACGTAATAAAGCAAAATCTCACTTCCCATCTATTGGTGGTTCACCGACCCGTGATGAGTCAAACTTCAAGTTTCCACTTCCTCCACAACGTACAACCTTGGTTGCAAAAAAACCACTTTCTGTTGCAAATAGCGTTGGTGTAATGGTACGTTTCCGTGATTTTTACCATAAGCAATACTCTAGATAGTTTTTGAAGTTGTAGAAGGTTTTAGCTATTACTAAAGTTTCTAAGCTTAATTCCGGGAAGAGTTGGGGATACGTACTCCTGAGAAGTGATTTCTAAGGACGAGATGAATATCCAGTGCTTCCTGATTTTCTTTAATTGTTTAGCTCACGTTAGTCCACAATGTAAATTACTCTATCAGTCATTACTCTGATGTAACATTGAATGTATTGTTTGTATATATTGTCTATTGGTCTGAGTGTTCAATGGATTTATCAGATAGTACATACGGGTATATTAATGCATTTATTCATATTTTTAGCAACTCAGAAAGATGAATAAGCTATAAACTAAAAATATAGAAAGTTGTTATCAAACATATGGACAGATAGACCAATACAGTTCATTACTCCGTATTGTTCGCTCACTGTCTCAAATAATTGTAATTATACAGTAGCATCGTCCATCACGATGATGTCATTCAGAATAACGATAAAAGCTCCACGACCAAACCATCCAGCTCGGAGAACAAAACTCCACCAAAATCATCCACCTAAGCTACAAATCTTTGCTTATCTTATATTTGTTTGAAATCAGTAAGTTCACTGTAAGCTTCCAGTTTGACGGGTCTTCAAACCTTAATGGATTGCCTCCAACGATTTTCGTTGATGGTTCATTGTTGTTTGTTAGGAACTTCACAACATGAATTACATACACTTCAGGCATATTTTTTAAAATGGCTTGACTAAGTAATTGTTCTTTTTTAAAGAGTTCTTATCGCAGAAGTAATATTTTGAATTATATTCTTTTAAAAACCCAGCTGTTCAAAACTGGTTTATACGATAAACATACATATTAAAGCGATATCATCCTAATCGAGTATTCATTTCAACACATTTTAATAATATTAAACGTAATATAATCATTCCTGTAGGCAAATGTAGTTGATATATCTTTATGACCGATACATAATGAAATTTTGCGGAAGGTGGCTAGGATGATTACATAGAAAGGCTTTTTTGATTAATGGTCCTCCATATTTTCCCGTTTTCCTCATGCTTATCAACTGCTTACTCCAATATGCATAGTTTCATAGGTGAAAAAGGGGGTGTAAATATTTTCCTATCTCCTTATACACAATTGTACCTCTAAGTTTTTTGTATCATCACTGCCCTAGTGACTAGAATGGCATGGAACTAAAATGAATAGTCATATCTGTAGACCTATACGGTGTAGTGTTATAGCCTATGCTTTGAGGTGAGGTTTACATTAGACAGACCGTGGTTAAGGTGAACAAAAATGTGAAAATTCCCATTTATTTTAACTAATACTATTTTATTGTTTCACGCGGTTTATTCAGATCATTTATTTCATGTATCTTGTTCCTATTGTAACTAAAATCTCATAAGTCACTTCCTTCTTCTCTCCTGTTGAAAAAAAATAAGAATACGAGATATTAAATTCATAAAACAACTTTCTCAAGATTGTCAATGGTTCATTCCACCTGGGAATTAATAGTGATTCAGATCAGTTTATCAAGTTTATACTCAACTTTGACACTATGTATTATTTTAACACGTAGCTAAGATTATGTCAATTCCAAAGATTGATTCAAATGATTTTTCTTCTAATACGAGACTTTATTCATGTAAATGCGGGGTTTCTGTAAATAGATTTCGCCTTTGTCAATATAAAATAATTATCATGATAAGTGTAAAATCTTTATCCATTGAGTTATATTTTCTTTTACACAAGTAGTGTCTTAATCAGACTGATACGAACGATGCGTCTGAAAAGTCTGATATGGATCAAGAAAATAGTGATGAGAATATCATTTACCCGTGTGACCTTTGTGATCAAGTCTTTAAACATAAACTTGCTCTTTGTAGTCACAAAAAATGTGCTCATCGTGCTAAGGTTAGATACGTTTTTTTCCCATACTCGTTTTAAATTAAGAAATATATCCTTTTACGTAGAGCGGTTTTTTTGAATGGTAACTGAAATATTACTAAATCATAAATAATATATAAACAATATATAATCTTTTTTTGCAACATAAATTGGTGATTACTTCGGCTTGATTGAATGTTGACCAACATTTTCGAGAACAACAAAGATATAAAGGAGAAACAATGGATATCGCAAGCCATTCTGGATATTCGTTTGCTTAGATGGATCCAAAAGCCAATAGTTTGTAACAATTCATTAAGAGAAATAGATAAACACTTATCTTCCAAATATTTTTAAGTTTTAGACATTACTCTGAATTGTCTAGTCGATCTTAATTTAGCTTTTTGTATTGTACATAAAATTGTCACACTGAATTCTAAACTATTTAATTGACGTAACTTAAAAAATTAGTAACTTAATCTATTTATTGTTGCTAAGTTTGTCCGTTACTTACTTACGTCTGTTACTCCCAATGGAGCATAGGCCGCCGACCAGCATTCTCCAACCTACTCTGTCCTGGGCCTGCCTTTCTAGTTCGATCCAATTGTTGTTCATTCTTCTCATGTCTATCTCCATTTCCCGGCGTAATATGTCCTTTGGTCTTCCTCTTTTCTCTTGGCCTTGAGGGTTCCATGTGAGAGCTTGTCTTGTGACGCAGTTGGGTGCTTTCCTCAATGTGTGTCCTATCCACTTCCAGCGCTTCTTCCTGATTTCTTCCTCCATTGGGATCTGGTCTGTTCTCTCCCACAGTACGTTGTTGCTAATAGTGTCCGGCCAATGGATCTGAAGTATTTTGCGTAGACAATTGTTAATAAACACCTGTATTTCCTGGATGATGGCTTTTGTAGTTCTCCAGGTTTCTGCCCCATACAGTAGAACTGTCTTGACATTTGTATTGAAAATCCTGACCTTGGTGTTGGTTGACAGTTGCTTTGAGTTCCAGATGTTCCTCAGTTGTAAATATGCTGCTCTTGCTTTGCCGATCCGCGCCTTCACATCTGCATCAGATCCACCCTGCTCATCAATGATGCTGCCCAAATACGTAAAGGTTTTTACATCTTCCAAATCTTCTCCGTCGATTGTGGTTGGATTGGTGCATGCTGTGTTGTATATTGCTTTCCCCTTTGTGTATGTTGAGACCTACTGCTGCTACACTGGTCGTTTTCTCCTTCATTTGTTGTTGTGATTGCGATAGGATGGCCGGATCATCTGAGAAGTCTAGATCGTCTAACTGCATCCTAGAAGTCCACTGTATCCCGTGTTTCCGTTCAGATGTTGATGTCTTCCAGGAGAAAGAGGAAGGGTGAGAGTAACCAACCTTGCCTGACACCGGTCTTCACTTCGAACGACTTTGTCAACTGTCCTCCATGCACAATTTTGCAGTGTACTCCATCATATGAATTCTGTATGATAATCACTATCTTCTGAGGCACGCCGTAGTGTCGAATAAGCCTTCATAGTGTTGTTCTGTCCACGCTATCAAATGCTTTTTCGTAGTCAATGAAGTTGATGTAGAGTGATGAATTCCATTCAATTGATTGTTCCACAATACTTCGTAGTGTTGCGATTTAGTCTGTACACGATCGATCCTTACGGAACCCTGCCTGTTGGTCACGAAGTTGGGTGTCTACGCAGTCCATCCTGTTTAACAATACCCTGTTGAAGACTTTTCCCGGTATTGAGAGAAGAGTGATGCCCCTGTAGTTATCACACTTGCTGAGATCGCCTTTCTGTGGTATTTTGATCAGAAGTCCTTTCCAGTCTGTTGGTACTTGTTCTTCATCCCAAATCTTGCTGAAGAGAATGTAGAGTATCCTTGCAGTTACCGCTACGTCTGCTTTCAGTGCCTCCGCCGGGATGTTGTCTGGTCCTGCTGATTTGCCACTCTTGATTTGTCTGATGGCCATGCTGATTTCTTCAATTGTTGGTGGGCCAACATTTATTGGGAGGTCCGCGTGTGCTACTTCGATATTGGGTGGGTTCAGTGGGGCTGGTCAATTCAAGAGTTCTTTGAAGTGTTCTACTCACCTGTTTCGTTGTTCTTCAATGTTAGTGATTACCTTGCCTTCCTTGCTTTTCACTGGTCGTTCTGGTTTACGGTGATTTCCAGAGAGTTTCTTTGTTGTCATACAGTCCTCTCATGTTTCCTTCTCTTGCAGCCTTTTCCGCCGTCATTGCTAGATCTTCCACATATTTACCTTTGTCAGTTCTGATGCTCCTCTTCACCTGTATTCAGCTTGTGCCTTGACTTTCTCTGCTCTTGTTCGGCTGGTATTGATCTCTGCCTTCTTGTTCCTCCTTTCTTGAATCTTTCAGTGTATGAACAGTGATCCATTCTTTGTGGTGATGCTTTTTGTGGCCCCGAAGATCATGACGTGTCGAAGTGATTGCTTCTTTTATTCTTTTCCAGTTGCTCTCCATAGTAGTTCCCTTTCCATTGAGTAGATCATGAAAGGCCTGGAACTTATTGCTGAGGGTTATCTTGAATTTGTTGAGTTTGTCCGTATCCCGAAGAAAGGCCGTATTAAACTTTTGTGCTGTTGTCCGCCTCATTGTCCGGTGCTTCCTGAGTTTCAATTTCATCTTGGCGACCAGCAGGTGATGATCTGATGCTATACCAGCTCCTCTCTTAGTCCTCATATCTTCCATTGTCCTCCTGAACTTTTTGTTGATGCAGATATGGTCGATTTGGTTTTGCGTAGTGTGATCCGATGAAGTCCATGTGATTTTGTGTATGGTTTGTGTGGGAATATAGTGTAGCTTATGACCAGCTTATTAAAGGCACATAGGTTTGCAAATCTCACCCTTTTTGATTCCATGTCGTCCCATGATGTCTCCATATCCAATGTTGTCCATTCCAACCTTGGCATTTAGGTCTCCCATCAGAATAGTCAAGTCCTTGATTGGACATTTCTCGACGATTGACTGCAGCTCATAGTAGAATTTGTCTTTAACGTCTTCATTGTAGTCGTTGGTAGGCGCATAGCATTAGATGACGTCCATTGAAATGCTCTCTTTCTTTGTTTTGAAGGAGGCTTTGATGATCCTTAGTCCATAAATTCCCATCCTATAAGTGCATTTTGTGCTTGTTTTTATAGCATCAATGCAAATCCTTGTGTATGTGGGGCATTTTCTTCTCCATAGCCAGAGTATAACAGAAGCTCCCTTGAAGCTAGTCGTTGTTGTCCAACTTGCGTCCAACGTGTCACACTGATCCCAAACACCCCCAGGTTGTATCTCCTCATTTCTGCAGCAATTTGGAAAACTCTCGGTCTCCCACATTGTACGAGCATTCCATGTACTTAAATAAATAGTTTCTCTGGTTGTCAGAAGGGGCACCAGCCTCGTGGCTTCCGAAGGAACTCGGCTTTCACCATGGAGCGTCATAACTCTTCTAAATGAAGACCTTCTGACTCCCAGGGCAGAGTTTAAGTGGTTTAAATAATTTTTTTCTGGCTAGCGTTTATTTAGCAAGTTAGTTTTCTACGGGATGGAGTCGCTAACCCCATGTCCAACCCTCCTCCTTTATCCGGGCTTGGGACCGGCAGTAGCCCCAGAAGAGTCCCAGGAAGAGTTAAGTTTGTCCATTAATTAATGTTTCAATTTATCCTTTAATCGATCGAAAATGTATATAAAATGGGCATTACGATGTCGCATGTTGTTTGTATAGAAAAATTATTGTGGACAGAAGTAAATTATCATATATCTCTCTAGGAACAATATCTAATTTCTTCATTCCTTTTTTATAGAGTCACTGCTTTATATAAAATTACTGTGATCAATTAGTAATGATCGTTAGAGAATGTTACTAGTCTCAGTGTAGGTTCAATAATAGTTGGTGTAACATTCATAAATAGCTCGAGTTCATGTTTCGTTAAACCGATGGATAAACTTGATACTTTTACAAAGTATTTATTTTGTATAGAAGAAAGTGATTTCAATTCATTTCTGTTTTCTACATGCTTACCAACCTAATCATTTTTTTACTGAAAGTACCACTGAACAATTATATTGTTAGCATTATCTCCGTTGTCTTACGTATATATGTTAGTCAACATTTGTGTTTATTTATTTGTTTGAACACATAAATATTAGTACAAAGGGGCAACGAATACATATGCACCACACAAGTCACTTGATTTACGTGTGGGCTGTGATACTCTCCGGGTGCTCAAACCAAAGCAGGTGACTCATCACAATATCTAATAAAATGACCTTGTAAGTGTTATCTTGAGCTACTGTTTTTTCTTCAGTCACGTAAGCACGAGTTCTTGTAGATGGCTAGTAATTGTTCTGCAATAGCGAATAAAAATGACTTCAGCTATCATAATCGTTTTTTGCACATAAAATAGTTATATAGTAACAATCCTCGATTTATTTATTTCACTAAAAAATTCCACTCGTCTTTAAGACCTTCGCCTCATTCAAGATAGATATATCCATTCCAAACCCTAAATAGATCTGTAACTTAGCAGTTTAGTCATACACAAATGTTAATCGTATCGTTACAGGTTAGCAATCGCCACCAATTTTCAGTTTCCTTTGTTGAATAGCATGTTTGTAGCTACAACAATAAATGTAAGTCAATACATCACAAACGTGTATCTAATTACTCAAATTCTGCTATTAATTAGATTAATTTCTTCATCTAAAACTGATCTCAATTCGATTTGGTTCAGATTAATTTCGAATAGCCTTTATCTTTTGGATTAATTTTTCGACTTGATAGACTATCTAATTTAATATGTTTTCTCTACCATCCTCTCATAACTCATTTATTCATTATAAATAATTTTCTGCAGCCTACTAAAAAATCTCATGGAAAATCAGTCAATCGAACATCACCATCAACACCAGATGGTTTTTGGGATATTGACCTAGAACAACATGACAAGGGAAAGGAGAATGTTCCGGTTACAAATACGACTGATACTGAAGTGAATATTCGACACTCTTCCCGCCGCCGTCGACCTTTAAGCTTTCCCTCAGTTGAAATATCTCCCACACCAATTGAATAAGATTTACATGTAATTGTTTCCCACTGTTGTTTTTATCGACTTTTTATCATTTGATTAACAAACCCGGTAATCGTATATTCGTAACTTGTTTTTTTACACATTTCTACAAAATAAATTATCTACATTTTTATTTTTGTTACCTGTTATTCTGGTGATTTTCTTTAATTATCAACTCATTGTTCAATCTTTTGTATTTAAGTTTATCTCTTTATTCACGTATTAGCGTCTTATCCAATCCTGGGCTATCCTGTTCAATAATGAAATACCTCCATTTTTAAAAATCTCAAACATCTCCCGATAAAATATTATTCGAGGAACTCTAAGTGAACCAACCAAACGACTGGATCTGAACGTTCATAACTGTCCTATTGGTATTATTATCCTCAATGATCCAAATTGTTTTAACTAGATGAAAATTTTTATTTGTATAATCAGACAGACATCCAAGCAATACAGTGACTGAATGAACTAAGAATATACATTGAGTGATGTGTATTAAAATCACATCAAATGTCTCGCATATATATGTCAGTGAGCTAATCCTTTGAGATAATCCAAAGTCTATTCAGAGACATAAATGTACACTGATAGAAGTTTAGAATTATCCACGTACTTACTCCTTTTACCTCTCATAGAACATAGACCACTGGCCAGGATTCTCCAACTAACTATGTTCTAGGCTCTTCTTCCATTTGTTTTCAAGTGCTATTCCATTCACTTTATGTCTGCTTTTGATTGGCCCTGACAGGTTTACTCCTGAGATTTTTAAGGATGGTGGTCCAGTATTAACAATGAGATTAACCGAGGTCTTAGGTAGAATTTGGGAACTGGACGTAATCCCATCTGACTAGTCTCAATCACTGATTGTGCCAGTTTATAAGAAAGGACAAAAGTCCTCTTGTGACAATCACAGAAGAATCAGTTTGACTAATATAGTGTCTAAAATATTAGCCTCAATAATACTTCGACGCCTAATCAAAGCTCGTGAAGAGCAGACTAGAGAAAAACAGGCTGGTATTCGACCTGGAAGTGGTTTTATAGATCAGATATTCACACTACGTCAGGTCCTAGAACATAGACACACATTCAGACGCCCCACAATGGTAGTATTTCTCGACCTTAAGGCGGCATTCGACTCTGTTGATCGTGAGGTTCTATGGCAGTGTTTGTCACTGAAAGAGGTACCAAAAAAGTACATTAACCTTATAAAGGCTCTCTACTCGAACACAACTGGTCGAGTGAGAGCTTATGGCGAACTGTCATCAGAATTGATTACCTCAAGTGGTGTTCGTCAGGGCTGTCCACTCTCCCCATTCTTGTTCAACTTTGTCATCGACGTACTTTTAGAGATAACACTCTCCTCATCTAAATTTCCAGGGGTTGAACTTCTACCGGGAGGTTCACTTGTTGACTTAGAATATGCAGATGACATAGTTCTGTTTGGTGAAGACGCTGACAAAATGCAGAGTCTTCTGACGACTCTAAGCAACAATGCAAGCATGTTCGGGATGCGATTCTCTCCCTCGAAATGCAAAATGTTGCTTCAGGATTGGGTTACATCGACACCCGAACTAGTGATAGTGAGTGAAGTAGTTGAGTATGTCGACCGCTTCACTTATCTTAGAAGTCTCATCAGCCCTTGTGGTCTGGTTTGTGACGAAATCTCAGCACGGATACAGAAGGCTCGACTAGCTTTTGCCAACTTGCGTCATTTATGGCGTAGGCGAGATATCCGTCTATCAACCAAAGGACGTGTTTACTGCGCAGCAGTTCGTTCCGTCCTACTTTATGGCAGTGAAACATGGCCGGTAAGAGTAGAGGATATTCGTAGGTTACTAGTATTTGATCATAGGTGTCTTCGAAATATTGCTCGTATATCCTGGGACCACCGAGTAAGTAACGCAGTTGTTAGGAAACGGGTACTAGGTAAGGATAGCAAATCAATTGATGAAGTAGTGAAACTTCATCAGTTGAGATGGCTTGGACATGTATTACGTATGTTCGGTCACCAACTGCCTCGACGTGCGATGTTCAGTGGTATAGGAGTAGGTTGGAAGAAAGCTATGAGTGGCCAGACCAAAACATGGCACAAATCCATGAAGTCACTGACAAGCGGGCTGAGTCATATTGGTAGGTGTAGACTACCTGGTTGGGGACCGCGAGATAATAGCAACCGATGGTTAGAGACCCTGAATGACATGGCTCAAAATCGTTTGCAATGGCGCAGTTTCATCCACTCTTTGTGTTCTCCCAAATTCTAATCTTCTGAATTCTTCATGTCCCTTTTTTCCTCTTTCCAAATTTATTTCACTGGATTATACTCTTTAAATAACACCTCCAAACCCTAATCTTCCCGATTACTGCTTCTACTCTTATTACCTCTACCACTACGGGATTTGAATCGACAACTGCATCTCTGTGCTAAGGTGGTGTGGCAACTCGAACTGATGTACGTACGTACGATGTTCTACGTTGTTACTGACTGACTGATTGCTTTTGATTCTCGGCGTGATGTGTTCTTTGATCTGCCTCATTTACTCTTGTCTTCAAGATCCCCAGTTAGGGCTTGTCTCATAATACAGTTTGATTTCCTCAGTATATTTCCTATCACCATCGAGCATCTTTTCCCGATTGGCCATACTGATTTCTTCGATCGTTGGTAGAGTTGCAGGCATGGTAAGGTCTGTATGTGCTACTTCAATGTCCAATAGATTTGGGCCATCCTGGAGATCTTCAAAGTATTCTACTCACCTGTTCCTCTGTTCTTGAATCTCAGTGATTGGCTTGCTTTTTTCCTTGACTGGTCGCCCCAGTTTACTGTATTTCCCTGCTAGTTTCTTTGTTGTTTCATATTTACTTCTCTTGCAAACTTTTCATCTGTCATTGCTAGGTTTTACACGTATTTCTACTTACGGGCTCTAATGCTTCTCTTCATTCACTTGTTTGCTTCTGTGTATTTGGTTTGCACCTTGACTTTCACTACTCTTGTTTGACTATTGTTAACTGCTGTCTTGTTCTTCCTTTCTTGAATTCTGCCCAGGGTTTCAATAGATTCATTCTGTATGATTGTGTTTCATGAGACCCAGTCTTATCAGCCCTATTGAAGTTAATGTTTTCTTCATGTGTGTCCATTTGTCCTCCATAATAGTTCTCCCTTTGAGTAGATCTTGTAGAGCTCGAAACTTATTACAGAGAGCGATCTTGAATTAGATAAGTTTGTCAGTATCTCGAAGTCTGTATTGAACGTTTGTAATACTATTTACCAAGTTATCCAGTTCTTTAACTGAGCGTTCAGCTTGTGCATCATCACGTGGTGATCTTAAGCAATATCATTCCTGTTATCCCATAGTGTCTTTGCCTTTCATGAACCTTAAGATCTTTTATTGATTCAAATACGATCGATTCGTTTCTTTGTAACGTGAGACCTATGTGGCTTTATGTATGCTGTGGGGAAATATCGTGCCACTAATAGACATTTTGTTGATGGCACATGAATTTGACAATCTCGCCATTCTCGTTTCTTTCTCCATGTTTCATATCTTCCTAATCGATGTTGTCAATTCCGAATTCGGAGTTTAGGTCGACTACCAGGATAGTCGTGTCATTTTCCCGGGCGCTTCTCCACGACCGACTGCAGCTTCGTAAGACTGATCTTTACCGTCTTCGTTGCTATCATTGGTAAGTGCATAACACTTGATAACATTCATTCTGATTCTCTCATTTGTTTTGAAGAATGCTTTGATTCTGGATTCCCATACCGTAAATGCATTCCGTGTTTCTTTGGATATAATCAGTGCAACTCGTTTATATAAAGCACTTTCTCCATAATCAGAGTACAACAATTCCTCCCAAATCTAACCGTTTCTGTCCAGCTTGGGTCCAATGAGTTTAACTTATTCCAAGAACCACCGAGTATCTCATTTCTGCAGGAAGTTGTTCCTTCCGGTCTCACATTCTCCAGTCATTACGTGAACTTATTCTAATTGTTGCTCTGTTTGTTAGAGGAGGGCATCAGCCTCGCAACTTCCGAATAATATCGGCTTTCATCATGAGGCATCATAATTCTTCTGAACAAAGATCCTTTAACTCTCAAGGCAGTGTTTGGACGGTTTGATTGGTTTTTTCCTGGTAAGTATCTTTTAGCAAGAGTGTTCCCTACAGGATTAGTTTCCTGACCCTTTACCCGACCCTACTTTACCCGAGATTGGGACCAGCAGTAATCCTAAAAGGGCTACAGTCTGAGTATAAATTAGCTTTATTACCAAGTACTAATAACTAGGATGGAACTGAAATTTCTTCAACAGTCACATAATTGTCTGCTATGCTAAACAGATGATTATAAGTTTAAGTTGTCATATACGGAGATTTCTTGTCATTTAAAAACTAAAACAGTGCGAGTATTTACAGGTTTTGGTATAGTTGAACTTGATGGAAAATGTTAAATCAAATCAACGGGTCATGAGTTGTGGTTACAGCTTATACATATTCCTCGGAACTTAGATTTGTCCGATTGGACAGCAGTATGGTTTCGTGAAAAAGTAATGTATTACTACAAATGTGGTTGCTAGTGATTTTCTTCAGATGCTATTTGAAAATATGCAGTACAGTAGCGTTAAAGTTCATCAGTGTTATACATACCTGTTCCTTCAGTCAGTAGGTTTTTTTACTTGATCTTAATACAGTTGCTATCTTCCTTAAATAATACGTTTCCCCAACTCTGCTGAACCACCTTTCGTCAGCCAACGTAAATTTCGGAGATCAACTACGAAAGTCTAAATTATTAATGGTACAATATAAAATTCTAAAGAGTTGCTCTATATCACCCTGTTTGCATGGGTTGGTAGAACAAGCAGACATACATACCGTACTGTTCATAGCGTCGGGGGGGGGGCTAACCATATATTAATATGGCAGATAGACATGGTCTGTTTTTTTCAAGCGCCCGGTTGAGTGTCTAGGCGTCTACAAAATAAGTTATAATACGAGGATACAAAATATAGATTCACAATAATGACAATACTTAGGGAATTTGTAGTGTTTCTGTGGTATAGTAGACTTTCTAGTTTTAGTTTATGAAAATAAAACTAACGGAAGTAAATTTTGGCTCTATATATGCTTGTTACGAATATTCCTTTAGTGCTAAAAATGTACGACAAAGGCAAAATAAATGTAACCTAATTTCTGTCAGTCGTAAATTTGTTTTGTATTAACGTTTTCCTGCAACAAAATGTTTATAAACCGATAATACATTCAACTCACATGTTTGCCGAAAACTACGGTTACTGATTTGAAATATTTAGTATTTATCTTATATTTAGGATTTGTGAATGGTTAGTTCTGGTAGGTTCCATTTATTCGAGGAGTTACATATACGTTGCCTGAGTACTATTACATATTAAATATGACATACGTTATTCGGTATCATTTCCTAAATTCGCAAATCAGGGTTCTGGCTCCGCATATAATATTTGACCTGTAACCTAGCATCCTTAGTCATAACGAGTGATGCGATCTGACCGACAAAATTAACCTTGAGATAATTCAAGTTTCGCTCCTATTGGTTTGCAGATTCGCTCAGCTTTTCCTATTCCCAACCAGTACGAAAAGATGAAATTGCAGCTAAGGTCCAGTTCTCGTTTGTTCGAAGCAAACATGGGTTGATATTACGGAGATGCCGAAGTAAATCACACCATAAAATAGAAAATCATAGTTATGCATCAACATGAGAAATGGCAGTTAGACCGGGCAAACAGATAAGCAATCAACTAGAAATAATGAGACGTAGTGTAATGGTTAGAGAAACAAGAAGGATCAATAAACGTAATATAGAAACATGGTAGTGCATTTACTTAGTAATTATGGAATAAAGGTATGAATAATAAATAGCCCATAATATTTTTGGGAGTTATCACTTCTTCAGCATTTTCTCAAACATTAAGTCACAAACTGTACTTCAGTCTTTATAATCTCCCTCCAATTAATAATAAAAAATCTAACCTTCGGGACCTTGTTTCGTTTTCAGTAAAGAAAACCTGTTGAGGTGATGAGGTTAATACGATCTCACAATTTACTTCGCATTTTTGGCGGGTTAGTACATTTTTAATCAGCCCGTGTTTGATGGCCTCTTGGTGGAAACGAGCGTAACCGAAGGGCAAGTGATGCTGCATTTGCTGAAGATATTCATAGTTTGAGGACACCTTATCCTCATAGGTGACTCTTTTAATCTGGAACATCATGCCACAAATAAATAAATATTTCTATAATCGAACTCCACAAGGTCGTTATAAGGATGCATCACGAAATATACCATCTTATAATTGTGATGCGCAATTTATGCAGACTAATATTTATTTCATTTCTGTATTTCCTGAATATGATAAGTGGCATTCTGAAGTTGGGAAGCAAACTCAGCTGAACTATTTCATATGAACTACCTAATTATGACGAAGTTATATTTATCAAAAATCCTGTTCATATTTCAAAAATCAACTACTGAAAATATGAAGAGGTTAGTTAGCAGAGTTTACATGGATGTGAAAATACAGCATGGTCTATTACGCTTATCTCTACCTGATTTCCAATAACTCAAGATCTTTGAATGTAATGGAACTGTGATGTGTGCTACTGATGTCGGCTGATATAAGTAGGATATATCATCAATCGGAAGTGAAATGCTTGGTGGCAGACGGTTAAGAAGATCAAAGGAAATAGAATGAGAACAGGATGATTGGTGTGGAAACGAAGTCTGAGACGGTTGACTGATATTTTGCAAATGAAGTATTTACTCTATGGTTCTCACACTTTACTAAGACGTTCTGTAATTTTGTACTTAATCACATTCGATTGTTCTCACTTGTGTTCTTGTTCACTACAGAACAACTAGCTGGGAAATTCATCCTTATGTGTGATGATCGTAAACTGATTACTCTTTATTTGTAAGATAACCGAGTTATAGTCCCAGTTGGCCAATTTTGTATTGCGGCTTAAGCTTCCAATTAACCTCAGATAAACCTGTCCGATCAATCATTAGAGAATGGGATATGAAAGACAGACTACTGATTCAGATTACTGACGGCGATAAGAAATTGGATGTTACTGAGGTATGATCAAATGAACGATTGAAGTGAATGATTTAGGATAGGTCATTATGAACGGGATATTTTTTGACTCAATTACAACGGATAGGATTGTTCAAATAATACGGTTCATTTATGTCTGTATTCATTAGAAATGGAGTCCAAGTAATAAGGTAATACAATGAAATGCTAGCCGTCTACCCAATCACAATGAAATTAGTTTGACTAAATATCAACTCGTCAATCAAGTACTTCGAGATTATTCAAATAATAACCTTTAATTCACTCCTATAAAACACCAATAAGTTAACACATACTTTGTTCATAATGCCTACTGAACTTCTAGTGGTTGAGTGTAATTATGAACTTAATAATCCTTCTGATGGATCTAATGGATTTCTTTGATATATCAAGAATTCATCTGATCTATTTCAACATAGTCTACTAGGTATGAACTGTACCTTGATATTTCGAATTATGTGTACTGTCGTGTACAAGATATGTTCGTATCGATTCTTTGATCGACAAACACCTAAATGCAATTCACCCGATGAGAATTACATTATATACATAATTAAAATTATCTTAATTTCACACCTAATTATAGTGGCTTCAAATCATCCTATGCGAATAAAATGAGTTCTTAATGTCTATAAGTGGAAAACGTATTGTTGCAACAGTGGATAGATTAGTTCATAAATTCAAACAAAATGATAAGTTGTAAAATTTGCCAGTTGTATGTTTGTTTATGAAATTAATAGTCATAGATTTTTCTGTCGAATTATGGAGTAATAACAGAGAATAAACTATTTAGTATTTATTCTTTTGTTCAATTATTTCTGTCGTATATATGCTATCTTTCAGATACATTTGAATATCTAACATTAACGCTGTAAATGTATCTTTGTTTATTAGCACTGCATAATTATTCACTTCTGAGTTATTCATACATCGTCATTTGGTATTACATAGTTTGAAATGCATGGCATCATTGACTTTGACTTTCTGATTACTACGAGGATATTTCGAATCAATGTTTCTAAGAGGTCAAATTCTTGTCAAAAGCAAAGACTATAAAATAACGGGTTAACAAATGTTTAGCTAGTAATGTCTTGACAGATTGTACACTGAAACCTTCCAAATACCAGAAATCAATGAAAGGTAAATCTAATCATTGATGACCACCAACTCAGTAGATCAATATCTCTTATTTCAGTGAAATTTGTCACACCACCTTCATACAAGTTTGTATTATTCACACTATGACTAGTTGTTTTCAGTTCTTTTGGATTGAACTAGATGGAGACAAAAAATGGTAGTGATCTGAGTAATTTTAGTATGATGATGGTGCAGGCTTTTTTGTCTGAACTGCAAAACTTCGTCGATTGACTTCTGCTTCATAATTGAGCATTCCGATTGATGTACTGAGACTAATATCGGATCATTTTTTGTATTTTCGATGAATTTTACTATGAGGAAAGTTGTGTTTAAAGGTTTACTTGTTAGTATGTAACTTGTATGTAACACGATTTCAAGAAAAGAAATTATTCATTAAAATATAAATATGAAAATTATTATGATGCAGAAAACTGTAAAAAATAGTATAATATTTATGTTGTACACATCAAGAATACGTAATAACAGAGAAAAAATCGGAACTAGTAAAGATGAATGAAGCGTCTATTGATTTAATATCATTCAGTGTTCAATGTATTGACATACTCCTTAAGGAATAAAATACTAAAATCTTGTAATTATATGAAATGCGACTAAAAATGAATTATGATATCTGACTTTTTTTAAATTTTGATGACTGATACAACATAACATAAAAACTATTTTATTGGAAGAACTCAAAGATTGAATATGAATTGGGAATAGTGTAAATAATAGCTAATGTATCCAAGTAATGCACAGAATCATAAAAGTAATAAAGCATAGAAAAACCTTCCACAGAAAAATAACTACGAAAATAACCTTAATTCCTTTAGAAATGTGATATTATTTACTTTTGTGTAAAAAACGGAATCTTTTCTTCTGTTTCTATAGAAAAACTAACCCAGTTAGCAAAAAAATTACTGTTTGTTTTGAGTATTGCAACTATTAATACTTCTGACTACCAGCAACGGCAACAAGCAGGAGAACGATTATGATTGAATGAAATTAGGCGAAAACAGTTGGAAATTTTCTTGATTCTTAGAAGTGAATTCTCTGGGTTGTAAATTATCATTTGACTCTTCAAGTGTATTAGTTGAACGTGTTTCATCTTGTTTATCAATAAAGAACTGATTTGACTTGGCTCTTTTTATAGCAGTAATCGTATCTAGGCAAGCTTGAATAGCTCGACAATTTTGAATTACTTCAGGGGGATCAGCAT